CTGATAACTTCTAATGAGAACCGCTGATAGGGCAGGTTTTAGTTAGGGTTGCAGGTGTGTGCTAGAGAGCAAAACGAGGGAGTCAGTGGCTTATAAAGACTCTCTGTCTTACTTCTAAAGCTCTGTTCTTCCTTCACCCCTTAGGTGGGGAAGAAATGAGTTACAGCTTTTCCTAAAACTAAGGTAAAAAGAATGTCTGGTCTGCTCTGAGGGTGGTAGTTAAGTTTTGAATTGCTCAAGGTTAGTAAGGCTGGCTGGTTATGGTAGTAGCTGTAAGTCAGTGGTTTCTCAGGATCTAATATTTATATGGCTTGTCTCTACAATTAATGTTTGTTTGATGTATCCCAGGAGAGGTCCTAAAAATAATGAAATGCTGTTTTATGGGTATCTGTAAGGGGATAGCTGTCCTTCTGAAAGAAGAGATTGTGCTCCTTGGAGTAAGAAGGCTGTGCTCTGTTCTGGGTGGCCTTAATATATCAATTGCGGGGGGTGTTCAATATTGTTTATAAAATTGCTATGTGATAATTGGCTACCAGCTAAACAACACCTGTTAAAAAGGCCATGAAAGATGAAATGTTCTTAGTGTGTAGAGTCTGGTAGACTGTATACTTCTGTCCTGTATGTGGTATGCTAGTATTTCTCTGAGCTGCTGTTCCTGACTAGTAGGATGATATATACTGGTTCTACGTTGATAGCTATAATGCTGAGCTAAAACAAGGGGAAATAGCTATCTTTTCAGTAGGCTAGCTAATGCCTGCTTTTAGAGAGCTATCAGTGATAGCAAATAATCTTTTCTTTAAAACAAAAAAAAAAAGTTGGATTATCACAAGATGTGATATTTTGCCAAAAGCCTTGACTTCTCTAGTGATGTAATTCATGCGAGCTATTTGCTTTTTACTCTTAAACTAAAAAACATACCTCCATCAGGTTAGCTAAAAACTTCAAATTGGGCCTTAAGGAAACACTCAAGGCTTCTCTTTTGAGACTGCTTGACCTTTGGGACTTGCCTCAGCAGCTCAAGGATGCATGGGGCTGGGAAGGGGTGGTCTGAAAAATATCAAACAGTTTAGCTGGCTGGAATCTGATCACACTTTTACTTCAGTATACAAACTTGAGTTTTATCTTAAGCTAGAGGAGAGCACTATGTGACTGGGGGGGTGGGGGAGAGAAGGCAGATAGCGAAGGTGGGATTGACCAAAACATAAGCCCTTGTTTGTCCTTTAGAAGATGCAGTCTTAGCTCTTTTGTTGGCATGGAAGTTAGTTTCCACAGCATAAACTAAGGTTTTAAAAGCTAGGCATCTATGCCCAAGATACTGTGTTATGTACACAAAACTTCAATCTCCTGGTTTTCTTGGGCACTCTTGATGTCAAGTTTGAGCTGCCTTCAAGACTTTACTGTGCTAATTTATAAAATGTTCAAGAAATTAGATGTTATTTTATGTTCGTATTTCAGTACTAAATGTTATTTATCTGCTTTTTATGATGGGATTTTTTAAGTTAAACTGTAGTCTCTCCCTTCCTGTCTTCAATTTTTAGCTTCTGTGCTTCAGGTGGGAAGGTGAACAACTTGCATTTTATATCACTTTATATCACTTTATATATATGTGGTTTTTGGCAGAAAGAATCAGGAAAGAATGATAGCGTGGCCTAATAGATGAAAACAGTGGATGATGGACTTGGCTGGGTTGTGGGGTTCTTAAAACTGCCTCAGAACTTTTCCAAGTTCTTCTAATACTGACCGGTTATAGGAGAGGCAGATCATGTGTGTGTCTGGATTTTTCCATTCTGAGAGATATACATTGGTGAAAAGGTTAGCATTTAGCATGATGTGTGGTGGTGCAAACTATATGTACTTTTCTTACCTAAGATGCAATACATATGGAGTTCAACTTAAGTTTTTCAGCTTTTTTGGCTTGGTTTAACTTCTGTTGTAAACTCTTGCTGGTGCAAGAAATGCCATATAGCAGTACAAATGGTTTATATTCAAAGCAGCTGCTCTTGGGAGTGGATGTAGTTTGGGGTTGGGAGTGTATACTCCTTTAAATATGAAACATATATTGGGGTGGAGAGAATGGAGGATACCACTTAGTTGTTTGTGCATGTTGTTATAAAATCTTTGTATGTCGTAATGCTGCAAAGGATGAGGAAATTGCAGCTTCTGCAGCTGTTACTCCCTTCATCTTTGTGCTCTCCCCCTTCCTTTCCTCCCCCTCTTTCTAGAGTAAACAAAACAACCCAATATTTGGAACTTACTTAGGCTTCCAGACTCTAATTTCAGCATAAAACTTTCTATTAAGTTCTAGTCCTTTCTTGTCTTGGATACCGCTACCTGCTTGTGTGTCTCCATCTGAATAAAAGACATGCAAAGCCTGAGATTGTGTACTTGGTAACAAAAATTACATTTGCATTCACTTTTCATATTAGGCAGGTGTTGCTGTTTTCCAAGGCATGCAAACTCTAAATGTGTGCAGCAAACTCTAGAAAACAAACAGATGTTGCTTGCGCAGAGGGAGAGTGATATGGATGCCTTAACTGTGGTACTGCATCAACAGAAGGTGTCCGGTGAGCTTGCCCCTGGCTTGTGCCAGGAGGTGGGTAGGGATCTGCACTGACTGGAAGGACAATGCCAGTAAGGTTTTTCTCAATACCCCAGCTAGCTGTGTTCCCTCTGGGTAGCTATGGGCATCTCCAACTGAAAGCACAGAATGAGTGGTCAAAAAGAGCAGGTTAATCTGATACCAGCCTCTCCCTAGGAGAAAATTAAGTTGCTGCAAGACTGACAACCACAAAAATGCAACACAGTGCAGCACAATTTTGTGCTATATTGTTAGTGCCTCAGCACCTAAGACCAAAATGATATATAGCTAACAGTTTAAAACTGCTAAATTTTCTATAAGGAAGTAGCTGGGACTTCAGTATTTTAAGGGGAGGTTTTGTGAGTTGTGGTGTTTCTAAGCCCCTCTGGAAGGAAGGAGTGAGAAGC